TTTAATTCTTTGCTCACCTGAGTGATTTTAATGATTTTTAATTACCATCTAGTGAAAGTCATTTGAGGACTGTGCTCAAGTTTTATTCATTTTAATTATGCTCTTTACAGGCCGTTTTGGTTGTCTTTGGTTTTTCTTCTCATGTCTTTGCTGTTCTGTGTTGGACCTGATTCTATCGAGTGATTTGGTTGTTTTTAGTAACTGAGTAGCATCATGGATAACAGCATTCTGTCTTCTTCACTCACCTCCTCCTCCCTCCCTGCCTTGCTAATTCGACTAGTGAGTGGGGAAAGATTAGCTTTCTGAGGAGAGAGAAGGAAATTTGTTCAGCTTTTCTCTGTGTAGTTGGCCCTTGCATACATATGTTATGTGTCTGAAATTTATGTACTGAGTCACGGAGCTTTTATTGCATACATCTCAGATATTTAGATTTTCTGACCTTTTAGCTGTATTTTACCTTGTTAGTATTTTTTTAGTACATCTTGATTTTCTTTTTCCCTTCTCCTTTTGGTAAATTTGTGTTTTAAGTACAGTTTAATTTAATGGGCTAAAAAAGAGCATGCCCTTTTAGGGATATAGCAGGTTCATATTGTAAACAAAGTAGGATGGATGATTTTTTAATTCCCCAGCTGGCAACTAAAAACAGATTTCAGTGCTTAGGTAGTAGGGTTTTTTAAATTTTTGACTCAATCCTTGAAGGAATCTCTGGATCCAGCTGGTGAGATGCCAAGTCCAAAACCCAATACTCAGGACTTTAATTCTGGCCTTGGCCTGGCTATGTTTATGGGTGTCAAACATAAGGCCCATGGGCCAGAACTGGCCCATCCAGGGCTCTTATGCAGCCCACAAGCAACTAGTGCAAGGGAGGGAACAGGAGACTGCTCAGGGGGAGTGGGAAGAGCCACTCTGATTGTGGCTTCAGCATGGCGGAACAACCTCATCTGCAGCGGTCAAGCAGTGTGGGAGCGTCTGCCCAGTGCTGCACTGCTGGCTCTCCAGTCTGCCCACATGAGTTTTAATTTGCACCACCCCTCCAAGCCCATGGGGCTCTGCAGTGAGGATACACCAACTTGAAGCTTATCAACCGCTGTCCTATATATAGTTTATATCTCTGGTACCTGGCATTACATTTGTGGCCTGACAAAGTGACATTTATGTCAGATCCAGCCTTTATAACAAATGAGTTCAGCGCCTCTGGCTATATTAAAGATCCTGCCAGATCAGAGTTTTCTTATATCTGATACCATACAGAATATTTTCTCTAAGATACAGGAAATTAGCAATAAACTGGCTTTCTTATAATCTAAGAATAGTCCAGTTGTTTCAACTAGGGCCTTGCAAAGTAGAAAGTGCTTTAAGAAGGAGAAACCATTAGTTATCCAGCCAAGTTTCTGTAGGGGCTTGCTTAGGATCAAGCCAGTGTCCTAAACTGATAAGGTATTGTCAAAGGATGGTGACGTATTATTTACTGGTTCTCTCCCCAAAAGACACAGTTGGTTATGGTTGGATTTTAGTTCCCTATGTATCCTTGAATGACTTTGTTTGATGGCCTTGTCAAGGACCAAGAGAGATATGTATGTTTATAAAATGGTTCTCAGAGATTCATCAAAGGTGAATGATGGTATTTGTGAAACAGGAGCCATGCATAGCTGCCAATGTTTAATAGCTTCCAGCCAAGTGTGGGCTGGGAATCTGGCTTTGGTACAGAAGGAAAGTGATTTGTTAGCACACACACCTGCTTACCAAAGATGTTCTGTAGTGTCAAGACCTGCAAGATCTGTGTCATTTTACCTAAAGCTGTGAATCCTTTAATTATTCACATTTTCCACTTGTAGCTACATGATGTTCACAAATCCCAACTTACCAATTATAGTTTGGGGCTAAGGATGAGCAGACCCCTAACAGAATCTTCCATTTGCTGGTTTTTAATTGGTTTCTTGGCTATACTGTTTAAATGTAGCTTATAAATAATACAAGTGGGGATCCACAAGAAACTCGGGGGAGCGGCTGTCGCATTCCCCCCCAACTCTGCTTCTTCCCCTCTCCCCTACTTCTCTCACATGTTTTCTACTTTCTGCACCCCTTTTCTTACTCTCTCCCTTCCATGCCTTCCTTTCTGCCCCCACCCCATCACTCTTTCTACCAATCACTCTCCTGGCCTCCCACCGCAATGGATTGTCCAAATGCAGAGATCCTCTTGGGGTGCCAGCTCCATTATGGGAGATTCCTGGAGATTTGAGGGTGGAGCCTTGGGATGATGAAGTTTGAGCTTGAAAGTTACCTCAGCAGCGTATAGTACCATAAACACCTTTCAAAGTAGCCATTTTCTGTGGAGGAATTGATCTCAGTCATCTAGGGATCCATTGTAATTCCGGGAGATCTCCAGCCCTCACCTGGAGGTTGACAACATTAGTTCCCCTGGAGGAAATGACTGCTTTGGAGAGTGGAGCCTATGGCATTATATCTTTCTGAAGTCACTCCCCGGCTCAATCTGCAGCATCCCCAGGCTCCACACCTCAAATATCTAGGAATTTCCCAGCCTGGAAAGACAAGTATTCAGACAAAGAATTAAATAGACTTTAGAAATGTAGATACTTTACCTGCTAGAACTCATTGTTATTCTATAAGCATAATCTCTGCTGGGTGGAGGGGGAAGACTGGAGGCTTGCTCTGAGGTTGCCTGTCACCTGAAAACGGAGACCCCTTTTTCAGAGCTATGGCTATCTCTGTGTTTCAGAACCAAGAGTGCCTTCCTTGGCCTGAGTTTTGTGGGTCTCTGGATCAGGTTAGAAGTGGGGTGCCCCTGCTATTGGGGCTACCCAAGAGTAAAAGGCAGCGCCTCTGGCAACAGTATGTGACTGGTCCAAAATTACCCAGTGAGCTTGCGCAGCAAGATGGAGATCTAAACCTGGGTCTCGCAAACTCTACTCTGAAGTTCTGACCATTATACTACACTCACTGACTTTCGTAGGGTGACTGCTGTTGAACAGTAGCGAGTAGCCAGGCCTAGTTGAATCATGCAAATCAGGTGGTCTCAAGTCACCCAAAGGGTACTGCTAGGCCTAGGTTTGCCACCCTGGACAATGATATTCCCCTCTCACAGGCACTGGGAAACAAACCTTTTCTTGTCCAGAGACAGCCTCCTAACCTTCAACAACTTGTCTTCCTAACATGGACACGGACACGGACTTTGGGACCAGGGCCTGCAGTAAACCAAGATGCCAGCTCTGTCCCCATATCCACTCTGACAACACAGACCTTAGCAGCACCAGTCATGCCATTCATTCACTTATTTATTATATAAACCACCGAATGTCTGCAGTGCCCTTCCATTCTCTATATGGGATGAACAGGTCAGTTCTGTGCAAAAGTTAAATAATCTGACATTAAAAACCACAACACTCAAAAACCAATGGGATAACATTTTAATCTCTTTTGCTAGCCTAAGAATGGCAGTCCTCAAATAAAGAAAATTTGGGGGGAGATTACAATGTAAGATTGCTGGACTCGAGTTTATTCACAAATTCAGAACAATGGAACACACACACACACCCTTCGGCCTCAGGCTAAATGGGGACTGTATAGGATTCTGCCCCCCATGCCTGTCCAGGAATGAGAGGGAACCCTATACTTTTTCAATACATTAAACAACAACCCAGAGAGGTATGCTACCCTCTCTGGATTTCAGAGCATTTGCCACCAGGAATCTCTAAACTTAATCCCTCACCAGCCTGAGATTAGAGATTCCAGAATCTCAGTTGGCATCTGGGACTTAACACATTAGCAACTCAATCTAGAGCTGTGCAGTTATCTTGCTGGTCTTTAAGGTGCTACTAGACTCTAATCTAACCGAGAAAAAGTCACTATGAATTAAATCATTCCCTGAGAATGCTTCAAGTTACTTCGTCAACCTGAATACTGTTGCTTAGTTACAATATAGATGCCACAAGTACCTAATTACAAGATGAGATTTGCACTAGATTCCTGTGGTGCTTCTACATTGTGTGTTACTTTTCCCCTTTTTTACGCTTTATAAAAACGAAGAAAAAAGAAACAAAAATAGAGTTGATTTAATACCTACTTTTAAGTATTATCTTTTAACAAAGACATAAGTTTTGCTATCTTTGCGAGTTCTGTCATCTTGATCATCCATTCCTTTATTGTAGGTATACATGCAGTTTCCCAGTTTTGAGTATATAACAGTCTTGCTGCTGTTGTCATGTACAAAAACAAAGTTCTGTTCGTTTTCTCGAGTTGTTTATCCATTAATCCCAACAAAAACACCTATGGTTTCATTTGTATATCAGTCTTTAAAATCTTATGCATAATTAAATGTATTTGTATCCAGTTTATCCTTATTACATTATTACATATATGGTAAAATGTCCTTTCATGTTGTTGACATTTCCAGCATTATGTGTTACTTTCCCCCAGTAACTAAAAATCACAAACTTTCCCTCAGATTCCCATAGTACCGTGCTCTCTGTGAGAAGCCTGAGCAGATCCTGCAGCACTGAGTCCCCCATCCAAAAGACGGGTCTTCAGCACAGTTGCCTGTCTGCATTCTTCTAAGATGTGTTCATCAGCTAGAAAGTATAAAAGACTTCAGGCAAAACAGGACTTCATGAACTGAAAGTGCCTTGATTTGAGGTGTGGAGAGGAATCAAATCTAATCTTTTAAATAACTGAGAAAACTCAGACAAAGTTGAAAGCATCAAAATACACCTTCATAGGCAAAACTGTGCAAAAAAGAAGGGGCTCCGAGGGCCGTGTGTGTGACTTCTCCAGCGTCTGACCTCTTCCGGTCCTGTTGCATTTTTCCCCGGACTGGGGAGGGTTGTTTGCATGCCTGAGGCTAGCTGTGGGCAATAGTAAATAGAATGCTGTGGGACAGAGAGGTCAGGCCAATGTTATTAACATTCATTGTTTTGGAAAGTGGCCAGCGGTTTATCTTGGCATGCAAGTTTGTTCAAAAAGAACAAGTTTCTGGGATGGGTTAAATGGTACACAAAGGTATGTGCATAAGCAATATGTTCTGTCAAACACATAATTTTTAGAGGGTAGCCGTGTTGGTCTGCAGTAGAACAGCTCGATTTGAGTCCAGTAACACCTTATTGACCAACAAGACTGGGGGAGGGGTGAACTTTCGTGATACCCCAGAAATCTTGCTGTCCTCTAAGGTGCTACTGGATTTGTATCTAATACATAACTTTGCTTTCCATTATAAGATTTTAGGCAGCAATCACATATTCAGATTTTCTTTTCTCCTCATGACCAGCTTTGTGATCAGGCCATCTCCCTCGTCATCTGCAGGTTGTCTGAACTCTGCATTTTCTGTGTCCTGTTATACCCTTAAAATGCAGAGTCTTGACTTTTGTCTGCTTATCAATCATGGTTGACAAGGCTTTTAAGCATATGCTGTTAACACTGTGAGTTGTAATGTGGAGTTACACTCAAGGCAGGAGCGACTTGGCTCTCTCCACCTGTGCAGAAGAGATTTTCTCAAGTCAAGGAGATTAATTATTGGCTCCGTGTTGGAAAATACCGCTACCAAATTGCCAGTGCTGGGTAACAGATTTGTTTCTCCAGCTCATTGAACATACAGGAAATAGATTTATTAACCAGACGTGTTCTGATTTTTATGAGTAGTTTGTAGAAGTTTTCCAGGAAAAAAATAGCAGTAATTTGAGAGAAGAGGGAATTGTGAATGCAGGGTGTAGGGTTTTTTAAAACCTTTCTACATAATTATACAGCTTTGTACAGCAGAAATCACACATCCATTTTAAAAAGCTAGAACTGATGCTGCAATACTGGTCAGTAACATCAGAAGAGGAACTAAGTGTTTCCATTCTCCCCTGCTTCACTGAAGCCAAAACTATGTTTTAATTCTGAAGAATTCCTAGTCCCTCAAAGAGGAATTGTGCCTCTGCATCTATAATGATTGGATTTATTAAGTAGAATGGGATTATTGAGTTAGAGTGCCCCTACCTGGTAGATGTTCAAGATATTGAGGAATTTCACATTACCCTTTTTAACCCGTTTTGAAGCCGTTTTTGATCCGTCATGGAGTAAACCGGTATAGGGCTGCCATTTCACACATGGCTTTCCCCTTCTGGTAAAGAGCTGGATCTGAAGTGGTTTGCCATTTCAGACTCCACCGCTTTCCCCCCACTGTTTTTCGCCCACGCAGGCAATCTCCGGATTTTTTTTTAAACGTTCGCTTTAGAGCGCTATAACGCTATAGCACTATAACAAAACACTCCAGGCATTCCAATGGCGTTGATATACTGCTGTTCTGTTATAGCGCTATAAAGCAAATGTTTTTTTAAAAAAAGCCGGAGATCACCCACGCGGGTGAAAACCGGTGGGAAAAAACACATCGGAACCAGGAGAGGAAACTGAAGACTACTTTGAAGCGGTTGACAGGTAAAACACTTCAGCCCCACTTCCTAAACGGGACAGAAGTGTTTGTATGTGAAATTATAAATATATTCTGGTAGGGAACCGGTTCTAAAACGGTTCTGTTTGAAATGACAGACCAGAAACTGTTTGGGGAACTGTTCCTCTTCTGGATTATATGGTCTGTCTGAAATTCCTCATTCTTTTTAGTTCAAAATGTTAAAGGGTGTGAGTCGCCAGCAATCTCCCCAAACATTTTAATAGTACCCTGAGTCTTTGAAGCTTCACAGTCATGCATGAATTTGGGTACTAGATGACCTAGTGATCTGACCTGGCAGTTGAGAATCGACATGCTGATATCCATTGCTTCATATTGTTACAGTTTCTAGTATTTCAGTGCTAATTATACAGCTTTACCAAATGCAACCGGCCACATAATCTTCAGATTCGCAGATTTCTATTTCTCTACTTGCTTTTGGTTAATCTGCCAGTTTCCTTTAGCAACCGTAACCATGACAAACAATGTACTGGGCTTAGACCACACATCATGGTGATGGATGCCTTGCCTGACATTCAGGTTGTGTCACATTGTTTGCACTTCCAGTCCAAGTGTTCAGCTGATCACACACAAAACCAAGACATAGTTGGCCCAGTTTTGCAACATTCTGCTTTGATTACAGATGCAGGCAGCCTACACACCATAATGACATTTTGCTTTCTGAAATATGAATTTGCTGTATGATGTGACTTGTGACTATGCAGTAATTACCACTTTGAATTTCCATTTGGGTTGAATATTAGTAGTGGGAATAAGTAGCTTCCTGCCGTCTGTCTAGATTGCAACCTGAGTTATCTGCAAGGCTTCCTGGTGTGTTTAAAAAATAAAATGAAATCATTATACCATTGTGTGGTAGCTAAACTGAGAGACTGTGTTGGATCCAAGGAACCATGACCAGGATATAGTTCATGGGACAGATTTCCCCTTCAATTTTCTGCCTCCCACTTTAGCTCCTGACACCCTTTCAATGGCATGTGGTGCAACTCTGATGAGAGTTAACACTCCCCCCCCCACTGAAGAGAGTAACCTCCCCGCACACAAATAATTTTGAACAAATTCTTAAACTTTTCTTGCAAAATATTGCACAAGGCTAGTACAACCCCTTCCCACTATGCCCCAGTGTGTCAAATCTGACACTGAAATGTAGGCTGAAGAACTTTTTCAATTTGACGTGGAGGAAGGGTGGTTTTTAGTAGGCAAGAAGCAAAAATGAAATAACTCAGCATTTGGTCTGAATTTGTGGATCAGTTTAAGATGTTATCTTGCATCATCTTTTTAACTGCCAGCCACCGTTTCCTTTTCCTCCCTCCCCTTCCCATTATTCCGTGTTCCATTTGCATTGTCCCCAGCCATCTAGATTTGCAGTCTCTCTCTCCCTCCCTGTCTTTTCTTTCTTAAGATAATGTTTTGGTAGTTATAAGATTAAAAAGTCTAATGAACATCTGATTGATAAAAAAAAATTTGTTGTGCAAATTCTATTTGCAGTTCTTTGAATCAAAGCAGTTGTTTTATCATCTGCCTTTTTTGTTATGATTTCACCTATGTCCATATCTTTCTTTGCTCCCCACCACCACCCCAGAAATTGACATTGAACGATGTGTCCGTGAATCAATTAACCTCTTTTGCTGGACCCCTAAGAGTGCTACATACAGACAATATGCCCAGCATCCTAAGCAAGCAAATGAGATCAACTGTCCCAGAAGTTTAATGTCCTGTCTGTCATCAGACTATCAAGATGCACCCAGAAGTGATCTGGTGAGATTTTTTTTTACCTTCATGTTTTATTCCAATTTGATAAGATAATAAGGTTTAACATAGTCTGATTGTTCTAATCTATTTTGATAATTTGAACTGGGAGTGGGTTTGTATATGTGAGATTTTCTGCTGGAATGGCAGAGTGTTCTAAGTAGGATACATTTTTAAAAAATCAAAAGAACAAAATTCAGAAGCTTACCTTTCATGTGTCATCATAGCCGTCATTACATCAATTAGGCATCAGTTTTGTGCATTTCCATGTATAACAATCTTTAAGAATTGTTATCATTCATGGTTATACAACTTGCTTGCATTTTACTAAGTAGTCCGTGTATAAGTGTGATTTCGGAAAGAAGAGCTTTAAAGCGGAGGGTAGGTTTTTGGCTTTCAGGAATTTTGATAGGAAATACAATCTTGAATATGAAAGAATGAATAAACCTTTTTCTAGAAAAGGGCTAGAACAATTTGTAACAGTGGCATGGCAACAGGAAGTTTGAGCCTTACAAATGTATTCCAAGTAGGTTGTGTGTTGCTATTGGGAGGGGCATAGCTTAGAGCAGGGATCTCCCAACAGGTAGCTTGTGAGCTACAAGTAGGTGGCCAGATGCTGCAAAGAAGATTTTGCAACACCTAGACAACCCAGGGAAAGATCACAAGATCAGCTCTAGGCTTTTATTGGGGTTATTTTTGTTTTGTTTTTTTCAGGCTTTATTTCATAGGGTTTTGCTTTGTGCTGCTTAGCTGATAGCTTCATATCTGGTGTTTTTCCTAGTGCATGTCCTTTTTCTAGGACAGGATAAGCTTCAGTAATGATATACCATGGAGAGGGAAGTAGCTTGGGATATTTGTCAATACTCATAAGTAACTCTCATTAAAGAAAAGGTTGGAGAGACTTGCCTTGGAGCCTGTTTAGCAGGGCCAGCTCAATAATGTAGCCACCTAAGTTCATAAAAAGTGTATAAAAAGGAGTGTGGAATTAAAACAGTAAAGAGTATTATCTGCTTTGCCTGATGAATGCAGACAAAGCGGGAGTTGGGTTAGAATTCCTGTCACAAGCTTCTTCTCACCACCACAGAGAGAAAGTAACTGATGAGCTGGCTGTACCAGGTTTATTCAAATGCTGTGTCTTCATAACCGCTTTTTCTGCATCCTATATAAAAAAGAAGTCTTAAAATTGGTGGCCAGGCAGATACTGAGTTCACATAAACGTAGCACAGCCTGATTCATTCGTTACTTTTCCCCTGCAGTGAGCCCTGCTTTTCAACACTCATTCCAGGTTGTGAGTTTTTCCAGGCAAGAGGGAAGATTAATGTTATGCTTTCTTATAGCACAAGGAAAAGTGAATTTAAATTAGTTCAGTGGGGTTTTGTAAGTGAGATATTGTGTGTGTGTATTCATACGAAAGCCGCTTTTTAAATTTATGTCCATTTAACAACAAAGCCATTACACGTTTTGATACTTGTTTTACATTCACTGACTGTCTAGATAGTTTTGGTTTGGAGGCTGACACATATCTCTGAATGGGCTGTTTTAGTGGGTGAACATTGGCTGCCCTAGGAAATAGTTCCTTTTGCTACCTTCCTTGTCTCCCCCCCTCCCAAAGCATTTTGAACTTGAAATTGTTCCATGGTTTGATAGCCATGTGACCTTATTTATGGTCATGTACCAGTTTGATCCTCAAATTGCTCAGAAGAATGTGCCAGTGGAAGCATTTCATCTTGTGCCAGGGCTTCTCCCTGCTTCCCATTCTCCTCCCACTTCTGTAGAGCATGTCCTTTCATTTCTGTAACAGAGATTATTAAGGCCTAGCCACAGAACTCTTGAGTAATCCCTCCTCTACAGTGAGAAAAAAAAATAACAAAACCCCCCCAAACAAATAGCAAAAAAAAAATGCAATTTCCCCTCCCTTGGAATTTGTGCAATGTGTTTATTTAAAGACTTGACTTTTGCTTGCTTGTGATCTCTACTATGTTAGGTTTACATTAGCCACATTCTGGCAAACCATGTTAGCATATAAGTTATAGTGTAAGACTAGGCTCTGCCTTGGCAGTGTAGTGGGTGACCCTGGACTAGTCGTACCGTTTCTCAGCTTAATTTACTCCACAGAGTGGTTGTTCTGAGGATAAAAACAGAAGAGAAAGAATGATGTTGTGAGCTACTTTGGGTCCCCATTGGCCAAGAAGCTGGTCTCTTTAAGCAGTTTCTTGTTCAGCTCGAACAGTTGTTCAGGCTGAGGCCTAGAAAAGATAGAAGTTTCTTTCTCTGGAAAGCTTCAAAGACTCACATAAGGGAGATGGGAGGTAACCCAGGTACCAGTCGCACCTTTAGTCCTGGTAGCTTCAAGAACATAAGAATCTAGGAGGGCGCATTCCATCTCATTAGCCCCTGAGTTAATGGGTGGGAGAAGGTGTTTGTTCAGTTGGACCCAACGCAGCTGCAGGGTGTTTGGGTTAATTGACAGACCCATCTGATTGGTCAGATCATTTGATTAGCCACATACCTAACTGGTCAAATGACACCATCTGCTATTTATTTCATTGGTTAACTAGAATCAGGACAACGCAGGTCATTGGGCATAAAGGAAATATTTTTCATTCCAGTTTTGCCTTATGTTTGGATTACATCTGACTTTGTGACACTTCTTGTTTTGTGTGGGTCTTACTGATGGGAAACCTTGTCTAGGACTTTGGACCACTGTTGGACTCAGTCTGTTTGGTAACATCTGGATCTTGAACCAATGCTTGTAAATGTGCTTAGTTTAGATTTATCACTTTGCTGTTGTTATCCTCACTGTTCACTGCTCTATTTCTGCACAGTTTTAAAATAAATCACTTATATTTTGTGGAGTTCTTGAACTCAGGAGGCTTCAATCTGAATCCATTCGTTTAGCCCTCATTGGGTACAGCTACCAGATTGTTTTGTGAAACTTGCCTTGTAACTGTCCTACCTTGCAAGGGTGGCTTTCTTGATCTTAGTCCCAGGACCGCTGGAGGCTTTGTCCCTTGGCCTCTGGCTGTCTGGCTAGTGAAAAGGGGCTAGTGGTGACACTACTCTGGGATGTGAGGACTCACTCTTCAGCCTTTTTGGCTTTGTCTTGCTTGACGTGCCCCCTTTCAATGGATCCTGGTTTGGGGTCCCTTGACACCATTGAGGAGAAAAGTGGGATATAATGATCTAAATAAATGCATAATATATCCCTGTTTTGTCTTCATTTACCAATGAAAATGTACTTTGAGAAAAGCTTGCTTCTGTGATACTGGGTTGGAGCATTATCTAGGCCAGCATTAGAATATGCTAAAATTGTTTGTTCTCTTCTTTGTTTGGAAACTGTTCAAAGCTTTCGACAAGCCTTGCAGTGCTATGCTAAGCAGAGTCATGCCCTTCTAAGTCCATTGAAGTCAATGGGGATCTTGCAGATCAGTTACACTAACAGCAGCACTTTCTTTGGCGCAAGGAGCCTTCAGCAGTTCCTTGAACTGGGCAAAGCACCACCGTGAAGGTTAAAAATGTTGTGCGGATTTGCATTATCAAGCAGGGAGCAAGTATGAGAAATACAGTTGCTTGGTCATAACGTGACATTCCCTTCCTGTTCTGCTGCATTGGTATTGGTAATGAACCTAAAAAAAGTCTTAACTGTAAAAAAAAAGAGATGGCTTCCCTGAGAAGTGCATGTTAAAATATTGGGGGGGCGGGGGGGGGAGAATGTAATAATGCAAAAATTCAGAATCACTTCTACAACACATTAGGCTACGTGAAAGATTGGTCCAATCTCATTGGGATTTTGAGACTCCCTTTCTGTGCTCAGTATTTTGGGTTAGTTTTTTAAAAAAAACTCATTTGGTTCTTTGCATAACTACTGTTTTGCACCTTCTTTATGAAGGCCAAATCTACTCATTTTAAGAACTGGGAGTATGTTATCTCTAAAGCCCCAATATTCATATTTTAAATATATGGTGATAAAAAAAACAACTGAACATTCCATTAAAGTTTTTCTTCTTTTAAGCAATTATTGCGTGCCCTGCGAGAGTTCCCAATAGCTGCAGAAATGCACGGAATTGATAAACAAGCCCAACAACAGACATTGCCTAGAGAAGAAGCTTGCAGTTTCCGTGCCAAGTAGGAGTTTTATCAACATAACTCCTTTGGTGCTCCACAATTCCCTTCCCGCCCCAGCAGAGTCCAAATTATGCCAGCTTGACATTGGATGTCTTATTTACAAATTGTAATTCTTTTCATGCCATGTGCAGTGTTTCCCCTCAGCATGCTGATCGCTTCCTAAAGTAAACTCCTGAAGGCCATTATCACAGAGCAAAGCAAATGTTGATGGTATGTTGTACAAAGGAAAAATAAATACTGTTGCAGCAATGGGACTCTCTTCTGTTTTGCCTTTTTGTGCTTTTCCCTCTCCAAGCACATGCCGTACCTCGCAAAGAGCGCCTGAAGAGGCTTCGTTATTTCTGAAGTGGGAAATAACTGAGGCACCAAAGCCCCTTGCGGCTTATCGGTTTACTATTGCAAAACTTACTTGCAGAGAACAATAAATGTACTTTTTCTGTTGGGAGGTTCAGAGCCATGGAGACAATTGCGCCCTCACCAAAGCTATGTGTTGGTCTGCTGTGTAGCTGTGTTGGTCTGCAGTAGCACAGCTGGATTCGAATCCAGTAGCACCTTAGAGAACAACAAGATTTTCGGGGTATGAGCCTTCAAAAGTCAAAGCTCCCTTTATCAGATCTGACGAAGGGAGCTTTGACTCTCAAAAGCTCATATTTCAAAAATCTTTTCCGTCTCTAAGGTGCCACTGGACCTGAATCTAGCTGTTCTACTGCAGACCAAAATGGCTGTCTTCTGAAACTAACTTCACTGGTAAAGTTTGTTGTTGAATATATGCGAACAAACCAAAATGGAGCTGATTTCCAATACATTTTTTTTTCGGTTTAAGGATTTCATGATGTTATGGGAAACAATCCAGAAAAACATCAACTATTTCATACCAGGGTTTA